ACAAGACATGTAACTCATCCTCTGAGAGCTGAGGGACTGCTGAGAGGAACTCATGTAGGGATGGCCTCTTCTGGGGGGGTCCCAGCGCTCCGGAGCGGGAGCAGTGGGACTTGCAGTGGGACTGTGGTGCTGTCAGCGAGGTGAGCTGTGGCCAGTCCTGCTGGCTGGCTTCCTCCTGCACCTGGGGTTTGGTTACCCCACCATCCCAGCACCAGCTCACCCCTGGTGCCAGTCACCTGGTTGAGAGTTTATTCATATAAAATTAAAATTAAAGGATGTAATGGGGGGGGGGGGGGGGGGGGGAAGTCTTTACTCAGCTGTGAAGTAATATTGGGAGTGGAATTTTTTTTTTGGAGGTAGTAAAGTTGTTCTGCAGTAGTGGGTAGGAGACAGTTAAGTCTTTTACAGCCTTTTTTGAGTAGCAGTTGTGTGAAATGCTTTATCTCAAGCCTCATATTGTATTAGATAATGACCAGGAAGCATCAGTATTTATATTAACAAGTTGCAGGTGATTAGTTTAGTATTATTCCTAGAATCACAGATATGATTGTTCCTACATTACCAAGTTTTTTATAAAAAATTTATTGCATAAATGTTTTGCGTTCTGTTGTTCAGAGTAACTGAAATCTTTTCAATTACTTGTACATTTAAAAAAAAAACCAGTAAAGTATACAAGGTTGATGTGTTATTCTTTTTCAGGCAGCGAATGAAGGTGATACAGTTTAGGCTGAAATTGTTTGTGTTTCTGAAGTTTCATCAGTTACAGTTGACAGAAAAAAATACATACAGCTGGATTATATTCACCAGACATCGGGAGGAGTGAATTAAAACTCTGATGCTGGTTATTTATAGCTATTTACAAATATCTTTAATTTATACCCTTTTCCAAATATTTTTTATTTTCCTTAACTTCTCTAGAAGTTTTATTTTCCTTCATATGCTGTGCCAAGTAAGAGTCTTACTCAGTTTTCCAAGTTTTCCAGCACATAATAGTTAAATGTTTTTCTGTCAATTAATATTGACAGGAAGTCAGTTTGAACAGCATAGGAAAATGGAAGTAGTTGGCAGAATTGCCGAATTTCACTGAATTTCCTTTTGCTAAAAATATCTCTAAAAGAAGCTCTCCTTTTGAGATACAATGAATGCTTGTTTGACTGTAGTTTAGAATTGATGATGAGTCTTGTCCTTTAACCAAAAGGGCTTGAAAAATATGAATAACCTTTTGAAATATATTCAGCTTCCTCTGTAGTATATGTAATTATGTTTATGTCCTCCAAAAGTTTACATACATGCTGAACTTGATGTATTTAGGTAACCCCACTAACTTGAATGGTCGGCTTGATGATAGAGAAGATCTGTAGAGCTGCTTATGTGAAGTTGAGCATTTCATTTGTATATGTGCTGGTAGCATTAAGGAGTTCTGAGCCCTGTTGAGTTTTGTCTCAAAACTTGGTCATTCATGTATGAAGTGGCGAGATTTTAGTCCAACTAACTGAAAGGATACAACATCAAATATATATTCTGATTTATACTGCATGCAAATAGCTTAAAAATAATTTTAGATAGAATGCAATGACAATTATTAGAAGTTATAAAATAGTAGAAAAATAGGATGTTTCATATTTTAGGACCTATGCTGCCTCTGCATTATGATACAAGAACACCATACTGTACTTACAGGACAGCCTAGAACAGTTGTTTCACATATTTGGCCAATTTAGAGGGTAAGTCAGCATTATTTATCTAGGAAGACTTCTTGCTTGGACATCTTTCACTTGTGAAGGTGATATGTAGTGACTGAGAGGATTTTAAGAAGAGAAAGGGTTGTCTCATGAACTTACAGTTTTGCCCCAGCTCTTGTACTTGCTGGGACTTTCTTCCCTACTTTCCTCTATTTCAGGGGGGAAAAAAGATTACAGGGATGTCAAGAGTAATGGGAATCACCAGGGCACAAATGTTGCTTTGTAGCAGAGGAGTTTACTGATTCCCAGAGTAACTGGGTGGAACCCTCTGGTGCCTGCTGTGCACCACTCAGCAGGGTGGTAGGACCTTCTGCTGTTGGGAATCCCAGCTCTGGTGAGCGAGAGGGGGAGATCCCGGTGTCTTGGGGGTGCCTCAGACTCTGGAGGGGTGAGGCCATTCCAGTGGAGGCATTTTCTTTGATGTTATTACCCCTGCATTGGCTTTTGTTGTGTTTCATCTGGTAAAGATCGCATCATAAGCTTTTATTCTTGTAAGTGCTAGGTGTAGTCATTCTAGGTATTAGAGAATTACTGTATTTGGAAAGAAAGAGGCTAAACCTTCTCAAACTATTATAAATAGATTTTGCAATCTCAGGCAGTAATTAAAATCCTCAGTAAAGAGATAAAAATGACATAGGTGCAGTACATTTAACTGTTAGCCTTTTGTCACGCTGAACAGGGAGTATATTTTGAAGGCCTGCTGCACTGCAAGCTCAGTTTATTTCCGTGTGTTAGAAAACCGCGGCTGCCTGTGGCTTGCCTGCAAGTTGACTGCCTCCTAACATCTTTGACTGTGAGGCAATGTTGAAGTCTCTGGTCATGACCCTTTGTATTGTCCTGAATTTTCTTTATGTGTTTCAGATGATGTTTTTGATGACTTTTCAATTTTTATCCTTTTGTATAAGCAAAAGATCTTTGTTCCTTACCAGAAAATGAAACGTTAAACTGGCATACTGAAACAGGGAATGCGCACCCCCACCTCCCCACCCCCCTATTTTTTTAGGTGCAATTAAAGTAATTGCTAACGAAGACAGTGAAATGCATGCAGATTATCTGAAGCATTTGCTCTACGGAGCTGCTTTCAGCAGTACTAATCTCCAGCCGTCTTTCCTTTCTGAGGCTCTTTCAAAACCTCCTTCAGCTGCAGTGCACATAAGAAATTAAACAAATCTCATGGCGGGTCCTAAATTTGATTCGATTGAAAGCTCATGAGAGCAGCAGCCCTTTGAGTATTTTGCACTTTAGGGGCTTGATGTGGAGCAGTAGCTATCTGGCACAGCTATGTGACTGAGTTTTCTGTGTATTTTCAGAATTTAGAAACTGTGTTAGTTCTCAATTCTTTGTGTTACCTTTCATACTGAAAACAAGTTGTCAGGCTTTTCAGGCTCCCACCCTTTAGTCAGCTGCGTTTTTGCATTTGGAGTAATTGCATTTCCTATTGCTGGAGTTCTACAAGCATCTAGATTATACAGTGCTGAGAACAAGTTTTAAAATACAATGTAGTGACGTTGGTAATCTTGAGGATAGGTCAGGTTAATGGATGGTGTAAAAGCTGGGTGGAAATCTTAAGGATGCAGTAAGGCTTGTGTTCCTTTAGAGAACTCTGCATTGGAGAAAATTTCCAAGTTAAAAGCTGTTGTTGCTGGCTGCTGCTAGCAAATGGCCATGGTCCTTTACAGCAGAGTTGTCCAGAACATGGTAACTGGAAGCAGTAGGGTTTTTTAATATTACAGGGTTTGTAGCACACACTTTGTGATACTCCAGCAGTAATGAATCAGGGTGAAGGACTGGAAGCCACCTCCTGGGGGAAGGCTCTCTTTTGAGCTTTGTTGCTAAACAGCTTGATTTGCAGCTGAGGTAGAGTGGTTTGCCCTTCTTACCATCCTTAAATAGGTATTCACTTTTTTTTTAATGTGAACTAATATATTGAGGAAAGTGTGTTCCTTTGTATTCTCCGAGCGCATGTTTATATTTGAAGGCAAGCATACATGGCATAACTGCAATTAAAAATAGTTACTTGAACTTTGCTAAAAAAATGTTTGTATATCTAGTACTTGCCGATGGTTTAAGTATGAAAAATATTATTTAATTGATTTTGATTATGAGCTTTATGAACTTGTGCAGAAGATGGAATGCCAGGACAGTGACACAGCTCTTGTGGAGGTTTTAAGGGTATTTTAACATAGTACAGGTGACTTTGGAAACAAGGTACTCTTCTGAGATACAAACAAACTTTCTTCATCAATGAATGCTGCATAACAAAGGAAAATTGATTCTAGACTAAAAGGTGGACTAGCATGGAGACGTCCAATTATTGTTGCCATTGATTGATTGACCATCTCTTTTCTTCCACAAGGATACTTTCAAAAAACCTCTCGAGAGTATTCAGAATCGTTAAGTTCTTGGACATGTCACGTGTTTTGAATTGAAATGTGTAGCAAAGCTACTTCAATGGTGCATGATGATTTTATAAAAATGTAAATAGGGCTCTATAGGTTTCAGATATTTGTTCCCTTATTAGGCTGCATTATAGTCATTGAGGGGGGAAAATTCAAGATACCATCTAAAGATAAGTTATATCCTACTCTCATGAGAAATTCCTTCATAATTTTGCTTGTCTTGAAGCATGATACATTGTTTCTTCTGAGCTTTCAGTTGACTTTTTGATAAATTTATTTTAAAAATCCTCGTGTCTGTGTCTTCAAAGCATGTGAAGCTGGTGACAACGTTCTGCTCCATGTTAAAAGCAGAGACCTCCGGTTCAGAGACAGTCAGAAGGGAAATCTCGATGCGAAGTGTTCATGTTACAGTAGCATATTAGATTTCACTGTAGATTGAATTGAGACTCTTGTGCTGAAAGAATAAGCCTGTACAGATTTGTTTGAAGAGGCAGGCACTTAAAATTATAGCAGGTCTTTGTTGACTGCTTGAGCATGGAGGGGAGAGAGAATGTTCATGTTGATGAGCAGGGTGTTGTGCTAAGAACTAGCTAGGACATAAGACAGGGACTCAAATATAGTACTGAAGGCAGTATTATGTTTAAGAATGGTAATTTTTCTTTCCCTATATATACAAATTAGTATAGCTGTTCTACTACAGTGGATCTTCTGAGTAATATGTGTAGTATTTTTGGTTTAGTACCAGGTTTTTCATTGACATTTGAGGAGAAGGACAAATCATTAACCTGAGTTAGTGAGCATAGGCTCGATGTAGTAACATTCAACACTAACTTTGGCTTTTCTTCTCTCTGTGTTACAGAAATACTAATACGGATCATTTGACCTTCTAATCGCTAGAGTTGAATCTCCTGATACCAGAATTAGGAGAGAGTGCCTTCAGAACCAATATGTAGCAAATGGGTATTGCACCTCCGAAGCTCCTCCCTTGGGTCAACACTTGCATGTTTTAAGGATCCTTGTCACCCCAGCACTGAATTGTTCTTGTGAACTTCAGAAACAGATTTCATGAGGTGCTTGCTAAACGCTGAGTCACCATGAGTAGTAATCTAGGAAAAGAAAAGGACTGTAAAGAGAAGGATCCAAAAGTCCCATCGTCAAAAGAAAGGGAGAAGGAGGCCAAAGCCTCTGGAGGATTTGGAAAAGAGAGCAAAGAAAAGGAGCCTAAGACCAAAGGGAAAGATGCCAAAGATGGAAAGAAGGACTCCAGTAGCACGCAGCCTGGGGTAGCTTTTTCAGTGGACAATACGATAAAAAGACCTAATCCAGCCACAGGTACCCGCAAAAAATCCAGCAATGCTGAAGTGATCAAAGAACTGAATAAATGCCGGGAAGAGAATTCAATGCGCTTGGACTTGTCCAAGAGGTCTATACACATGCTTCCATCAGCTATCAAAGAGCTAACGCAGTTAACAGAACTTTATTTATACAGTAACAAACTGCAGTCCCTACCGGCAGAGGTGGGCTGTCTTGTGAACCTGATGACACTGGCCCTGAGTGAAAACTCACTTACCAGTTTGCCTGACTCTCTTGATAACTTGAAGAAACTGCGCATGCTTGACCTGCGGCATAACAAACTTAGAGAAATCCCTTCGGTGGTGTATAGGCTAAGCTCTCTCGCCACTCTTTACCTACGCTTTAATCGTATAACTACTGTGGAAAAGGATATCAAAAACTTGTCAAAACTCACCATGCTTAGCATACGAGAGAACAAAATCAAGCAACTACCTGCTGAAATTGGTAAGCGATTACACTGATTGAAAGTCTAATTCTATGCTTACATTCGCTTTACAGTTTTGTTAAGTATACATAAACTGCCACTTCTCCAGGTGCCCGTCTCCATTCAAAACTTAGTAAAATTATGCTCGTGATCATACTGTTGCAATGTTAGCTTATATTGAGACTAATCAGTACTTTGGATATACATATATATATATTTTTTTTTAAACAACAAAAGCCCTTTTTCTTCATCTATCATCTTAAAATCAGATGTATCTTGTTTTCGTCTTTGCCTTGTGCTTTCACATATTGTGTCTTCAGAGCCCAGATGGTTTAAAAAAAAAAAAAAAAAGATACAGGGGCATATTTAATTTTAAGATTTCTTTATAAATCATTTATGAACTGTTGCAAGTTATAAACACATTATGGGCATGTTACAGAGGGGTGTGACCATGGTAATACCAAGTTGAATAGGTAGCTACATGCTATTACCATGAGCAAGCTTTGGATGCCATAACAGTTAATAATGTAGGTTAATGATTCGTGAAAGCCTCTACCTTTTACATCATGAATATATTAATACATGGACTCTTGATATAAAGTGACCAAATGTTGTATGCATGGCTTAAGGATTCTTATGACTTTTTAATGAATAATAGCTATTTTTCCAAACATTGTTGCAAAAGTTTGAAAGATGGTGAAATACTGTGAAAGTGTCTCATTTTTGTAAATAACTATTTAATTTAAATGTGCTGGAATAGCTGTATATCAAGAACTCCTAAGTTGTTCCTAATAGGTTCTGATTCATGGAAAACATCTCTTTATCACACTGTTCTCAAGGAATATTTGGACAACACATGCGCCTCATAAAAGTGAGATTCTATCAGTGTTTTTTTTTTCCTATGTATCACCAGTTTTTAAAATGCAAACATAGCTAAGTCCCTTTAGGGGGAGGTGGAACATAAACTTCATGCAGTTAAGAAACTGCTTTGACTTTCTTAAAGTGTGGAAAAAAGCCTTGTAAAAGCCCTTGTAACACTCTGAGTAATAATTCCTGTGCCATGTTTTTAAAAGCTGATGTGGGACTTTTTCCTGTTAACCAAGTCAGTGTGCAAGTACGTTAAGTGTTACTGAAGTGGCCCCTATGCTCACTAATTTTTGAAAAGCTTGGGAAATGTTCTTGTTTGGATACCTAATAGATATTTTTCAAACCAGCAGTGTTTGCCTCTTTCTCCTGCACCTTGACATGAAAGATACGTGAGATAACATGTTCTTGATGGCAGGAACTCTTGGGCTCATCTGAAACTGCTAATCATGTTACCAGCAGCGTCAGGTACAGATATGGCTTCTGTACATAACAGGAGTGAAGAAAAGTAGTGAGACTGTTGGTTTGAGTCTTTGCCTCCCTGTAGCAGCTATTGGAATGGCTTCTGCTATAAACACTTTCTTGCTAGGCAAAAATTAACTTGTTAATGTGGTATATTTTCTGATCAATATGATTTTTGAGTTGGCACAAGCATCTCTGCAATCCTGGGTATTTCCCCTAGGAGAACTAAGAAATTGTAATTTTGATCTATTTTGACACTTCAGTTTAAGTCCAACAGCCTCTCTGAATCTTTTACTAATCAAAGAATCATACTGGAAGCCATGGGGCTAATGTTTGTAAAAAAACCCCAACACACCGCTTATTTCTACATACATTGAAGAAATTGTGGTCAATTTAGCTGGTTGAGCTATATTGCACAATTGTCAGTACTTTACCTGGGTCTGTTTGTGGCTCAGTTATTAAATGTAATCTAGCAAAGAGTCAGCTTCTGAGGTTCAACTGGGGATGCTACTGCATAAATTTAATTAATACTAGTGTGTGAAGAAAAAACTTTTTTGAGATGTTGCATTCCAGTGTTTGGTGTTGTCCTTTAGAAACTTTTGTAGGTGTCTTTGATACTGCAGAAATCATTGTTGCTGCTGGAACCTCTTTGTTTCTTAACTATTTTGTTAAATTCTTATTGTTAAGTTTATATTGAAGTATATAATTTCTGTATGTGTTTGTTCACAGCAGTCTTGAAAGAGATCATGTGTAACAGTTTCTTGGAGAAGTATCATGAACAAATATATGACTTGCTTCTTTTGTATTTTTTTTATTCGTGTCTTGATATGCATACATGCAGTGTTCTCAGTTCTTTATCAAACCCTAGCTTGAGAACATTAACTACTTTACCACTGTCTGTGTATCCAGCAGTTAGTTGTGCCTTTATTTGTACTGTGAGAATGCCCATGTTCCTTGTTATGGGTCAGCACCTCATTGTGGAAGGCAGCTTAGAAGCATAAATGCAAGATGACTGTCACCCTTATGAAGAATTTAGAAGGAAAATTGCTACGTTCAACAGCATCCTTTTTTTACTGAAAGTAAATTTCTCTCATTGGCTTGCCTGAAATTTAATCAGTTGAAAAATAAATTAAAGGATTTCTAAGTTTAAGTAACACAAATAATTTTAACTGCTAAGACATACAGAATAGGTGTTTGAAAACCTTTTTCTTCAAAAATAGTAAAAACAAACAAGATAGTTTAACTTCTGTAATTGATTTCTACTCACTTTCACATATCATTGTTCTAGTAAAAAGGTTAAATATTTGATATGGAAACACAGCTAAAAAATGAAACTGCTGAGCAGTATATTTCTTACTTTCTGGTGGAATTTCTCTGTTTCTTTATGCACTTGTGATTTCTCTCCATTTTACATGTGTACTTTAAAAAAACCCTTGCCTTTTAAGTCCCAGTGATTTTATTCCCTTGTACGTTTATAATGGAGTTCCTAAATACTATATACAAGCAAAGACTTATAATATCATCTCGCGAACATCACAGAAGTTTTTGTTGCTGCAAAGCAGGAAGTAAAATGAGGCCATTATCTTTTACAAAGGAATATCATGCAAAGCATTTCAGATTCTTTTTGAAAATATCCCATTGTTCTAAGGCCTAAGGCTCACATATCTGATGGTAAGCTAGTGTGCTTGTTCATATTTTTAAAAATTCAAAGCTTATGTAACACGCTGACTTGTCCAGCAAGGAAGATTTAGCTATGGTGTGTTCACGTTGCCTAGCTGGTACACAACGGTGCTGAGAATCCTGGGTTTTCTTTAATTTGTCTTTTGGAGGTAGATGAGATGTTCTACAAAAGGTTCCTGTGGACAAACAAAAACCTAGACTTCATGTTGAAAGGTGGCATGTTGCTACTGTTCCCTCAAAGAGCCAGTGTTGAGTGTTATTTCTCCTATCTTAAATTTTGAATTGGTAGTCTCCAATCTTATGGTAGTGTTCCTTGTTTGATAGATGACATGTAGAAACTATACTACTGGTCATGTGATTTCAAAATGAGTTTCTAGAAATTCTTGTTCAGAACACCTACTGCTCACTGTGCAAGTGTACAGTATTAATACTTGTTAGAAATAGATTACTTTTAGGGAAACCTGAAATTGACTTTAAAACATTTCTTAAAAGCCTGTGTGAAGGTAAAACACATAATAAAATGTTGGTTGCAAAACACATAGTTGATAAAATTTAAAGTGGTCCTGGAAACTGCTTTAGAACAACTGACCTGTTACAATGTCTGTTGTCCTGAGGAAAACCTAGAAGAGGTGAACCTATCACCACTGAGCTGCTGTGAGGTAATCTGAAGTTTGGTTTTATTTTAGCCTTTAAACTGTCTTTAGTAGTTAAACAACACAAACTTAAATGGGGTGTGTACACTGCGGGAAAAATTGCTTTGCATTTAAAACAAACATTTTAGTGAGAAAGAGGAAGTATAATTATCTATAGTTAGTAGACAGATGTGTGTGTTTCTGGTCTTCCCCGCCCCCCCCCCCCAGAATGCAGGACCTCTCATTCCTTTTCATCCAGTTGCTTTATAGGTAGATGATGACAATAAGATTTCCCGTCTTTTCAATATCCAGAAGGCTTCTTAATTTTAAATAGTGGTTTATTCAACTGAACTCACTCAATAAACCAAAAAATGAAGAAAATATTATCTGTATTTTGGAAGAAGATAGTCTTTTAGTAATTCGGCAAATTCAGGCTCTAGGTACCTAGCAAATCATTCTTAACACTTCTCTTAGCTTCTCTTAACACTTTTCCAGCAATATATATATATATTGCTTCTACATTTTTAATGTGATGGAAATTGTTTTCATAGACTGCCTGGTAAACTGAAGTCTTGATAGGTATTGTTGTAGTTTCAAATATAAATTGATTTGCTTGACTAAGGTCTAAAAATACTTAAAAATCTATTTAACTTAAAACATATTCCAAGGTGTGGGCTTTTTTGTTGCTTTTGTCTGTTGTTTTTGTTGTGTGTTAGTTTTTGGTGTTTTTTTTGATGTTTTGCCAAAAGCTCTGTTCAAGAGTAGCTGAATTAGGGGAAGTTTTCATGAAATGGCTGTGCTGATGTGTAACAGCTTCATAATGCTGAAAGGGGCAATACGCACTCCCCTCCTCACAGATTCCCAGCTTCTCACTCCTGACTCTGTCATCTGAGCTGTTCCTTGGTGAGCTGATTTATCTCACTAAATTAACAGAAAAATATTAATGGTTTTGCTGCTTTTGTTGTCTGTTACTTGAGTTAGCTGAAATCAGTGAAGTTTCAGGTAAGACTGGATCTGGTGTAGCAGGAGGAGTGGGAGAGCATCAACTGGAATGGGGAGAGCAGGACTGCCTCTTTTGCCTGCACTGAGCTGTTAAAACAGCTTGGCTTGCTGCAGCTCATGTGTGAAACCTCACAGGTAGGATTGCTCATGTTGTATAAAAGCATGTGAAGTACACAACAAGTGGTTTGAAGGACCTATTACTGTCTGCAGAGAGCCATTGAAAATACATCAGATTATATTTTCAGAATATCCTTTTCTTCCTTTTCCCATGCTTTCCATGTCTTGTTCCACAAAATCCTGTGTAGTTTATTGGAGTCCTGGTAGCATCAGCTCAGCCCCACCTTCCTGAAGCAATTTTTTGTCTTTCTTATAAATTACAT